TAAAAACTTACATAATGTCTGTTTAAGGTCTCTAAGATGCCCTTAGATACCAATACATGTGCGCATGCTTGTTTTCCTGTGTATTTCTGTGTTGCCCTGCATTGATTAACTTGTAAACATCTTTGGTATCGCATCCATCCTACAAAGCATCTTCTGAGCAATCATCTCTATAAAGTTTGGATGTCTGCAATTTTTTATTTCCTCTCATCCCTTCTACAGACTCTTCAAAATCACTCCCCAGAGCTCCAGTGACTCTTCCTATACTCCAAATTCAGTGTAACCATGGCCGATGTTACTCCCAGCAGAGACGCTGCAGTCTCTGCACCTGATCTTTCTATTCAAACTTCTTTTAAATGTTACTACATTGTAATATGGTTACAGCTAATCTGGAGCCCGTAGCGTTTGTTTTCTGCCTTTAAAATGTTGTGTTTGATGGGTGGATCCGTCTAAGACAACGCAAAGACACTCTGTAGGCACACAGGGTGGGGTCTTAGTAATCAGAAGGTGCCCTGCCTTAAAGTAAAGTTGAATTGCTTTTAAAGTATTCTCCAAACAGTAAACTTAGGGTGCTGAATGTTGCTTAACTGTTATTCTTTCCTATTTTGCAATAATATTTTACTTTTGCAAAGGTTTATTTTTTGCAATTTCCCTTTGTTTTTGTCCTGTTTTAATGCAGAGTTTACACTGTTGCTGATGCCACCATACATCCACACTGCAGGACATTGTTTAAATACACACTCAGCGTCACTTGCAGAACTGATAGGGTGATTTTTTTTTGCTGGGTTTTATCTGCACAAAAGGGAAGAGGTAATAATCCTAACTGCCAACAGCAGCCAGCAGGTGACACAGATAATGCTGGATTGACTCAGAAAACACATCTCTGAGTGGAAGGGAGTCAGATTAGGGATTACTTAAAATAGGTAATTGTTTGAATATTTTACCACTTGATGCAATTTGTTTGCTCAGACTTCTGGTAGTACTAAGAATATACATCAGTTAACATTACAGCAAAATCTTTGGGAAGGCAACAGTAGTTTAAATAAGACCTTCCTTAGGGCTGGCAGGTGTAGCCTAGAAGACTGTATTCAAATGAGACCGTGGTGAAGAGGTTAACCACAATGGAAATTATGTTAACTGCTCGGCCCAACTAGCCTCTCTGCTGCTGAAAAGCTGAGCTGAGCTCTGCTCCAGGAGGTTCTCCTCTACAGCTGCATGTTTTAAAGCAAAGTAGGTTGATTTCTGAAGTAATCAACCTACTTTGATTACAATAATATACATGTTCATGCCTCTAAGCCTCGACAGACAATATAATGTTTTCTCTTTTGAGTATTTCTCTTTGTATTTCTTTTTGTCTTTTTCTGCTCTTTATGCTCATTTTTTAATCAAGTTTCTCCTTCATGTGTGATTAATTCAATTCAATTCAGTTTATTTCTATAGCGCCAAATTCACAACACATGTCATCTCAAGGCACTTTACAGTTAAACCAGATCATACAGTCAAAATGATTCAAAGTTTTCTATCTAAGGAAAACCAGTTGATTGCATTGACTCATTGACTCAAATACAATCCCTCACACTAAGCATGCTTGTAGCGACAGTGGAGAGGAAAAACTCCCTTTGAACAGGAAGAAACCTCCAGCAGAACCAGGCTCAGTGTGAGCGGCCATCTGCTGAGGCCGACTGCGGTGCTACAGCAGAACAGTAGATCTGATCACAATCATTGCGTTTGCCTTTATTGGTTTCACTTTCATCATCCACCACAGTATCCACCATGGCTTGGTGTCTAAACCGATTATAAATCAATGACATATAAATCAATTTAACTGTGTCAAAGGTCGCCCTTACATTGAGGTATGAACTCCTGCATGACAAGGTCTCTGTTCCTGCACCTCCTGGGATGTCGGATGTTAAAATACAGAAAATGGAATTTTTCTGAGGTTCTGAAGAGGAAATGAATGAGCTCCTTTTTTCATCCAGCTGTGCTTTCATGGGCAGCGGGTTACACATGTTATTGGAGTGAATATAAATACAGTGAGCAGCAGTTTTACAGGCGTGTAATAATGTAAGTGATGCTGTGTCATCGCTGTGCAGCAGCAGCAGCAGCAGGCTGCCTGGTTTTAGCAGCCTGGAGTCGCTCTCTGATTGGCTGAGCAGAGCAACGTGTACCTCAGTCACTAACAGGTAGCAGCGCACATGTGGCAGTTTATCTCCGCGCGCGGTGACGCTCCGCGGCTCCTTCACTGACTTTCTGCTGCTGGTTTTTATGCCAGGAGTCCTTCTCCAAAGACGCAGAGCGGTAAGACCCTCAGTCCCTCTGATTTTCTGGCTTTCTGGTTTCCTGCTGGCAGTAGGAGCCTTTCTGAGCTGCAGCTCCGCTCTACCATTAGATGTTCCAACTGTCTGAGGTTAGGCAAATAAGGAGCTGCACAGAGCTGGAACATAGCTGGGCTAACTTGTTTATTATTATTGTGCGCTTTTTTCCTCCTAAAACGCCGCTTCTGCTCCAACATTCTGTCGGGCCTATAGGAGAATTTTCTCTCTGGACCTTTTCCACTGTTTGTTTTAACGTTTACTGAAACTTTTAGGGGTTCAGGATAAAAACAGACTGCTTAAAGTTTCAAATAATCTAGACGTTTGAATTTATCTTTGTTCTTTTAGTAAATAATTAATAGAGTTGTGGTATCTGTTCATTTTGTTGAGCAGTTTTTTTGTTTTGTTTTTTTACATATATACATCTGTAAGTATGGAGTGAAATTTGTTCCATTATTGTAACACGTTTTGTAAATGGAACCCCGCCCCCCCAAAAAAGAAAGTAGATGCAAGCTAGAAATTAAAATATGAAAAACTTCTTAATCAATAAAATTATTCTTGTTCTTTGGTTTTTAAAATAATATTTTTCAAATACTTTTTTTTTTCTGTTACAAATTTAAAATGTTTACATTTTATGTTTCCAAACATTTTTGTTCTCCAGACTGAGTTTCACAAAGTTCAGACTTTTGAAATTAATTTTTACGGATCAGATTATCTGCACTTATGTGGGCGGGGTTTCCTCCTGAGTCAGGAATAAAGACGCATTTCTATTGGTCTGTATCGAAGCCAGTATCAATTTTGTACTGTACTGGTCAAGGAGAGGTGTTTGTATCTGGCTTAAAGTGTTAAGAATCCAATTCATAAAACTCAATTTGAAAAAATAAAGTCTGTATGATTACAATTAAAAAATTTAAGTTTGGAAAAATAAAAGATTTGTGAAAAAAAGTTTTTTTGAAAAAAAATCTAAACATTTCGATTAAGAAGTCTTTCAAAGTTTTATCTCTCCATTGCAAATGTGCTCTGTGTTTGTAACAAAAATGGAACAAAATTCACTCCGTATATGAGCCCCAACAGTTGATTGAGATATTTTCAGTATTGCAGATACATCATCAGTAAAATATCAAATTATATCATCTGTTAAAAAATATGGCTACCTTCTTTTTTAATGCTTTCTGAGTTTTAAGAGGGCAAACCCTGCAAAATGTGTTCATAAGCAACATAAAAACATATTCTTATCTGTTTAAAAAAACTGGGTTTTGAATCTAAATTTATTAAACCAAACTGGTTGTAAATGCAAATTTAAATATTTTTTTTCTCTTTGTGTGGAAAAAGCTTCTGTTGGGGTAGTCGGACCAGCAGGGGTCCTAAGCAACCAACAGCTCTTTGTTACCTTAGTGCTGGCGACTCGCTCTATTTTTGTGAGCACAACCTTGAAAGTGACATTATCTGAGAAGTGATGGGATAAAAGGTGCAACATCATGGAGTTTTCACACCGTCAGATCAGATGCAGGAGCCTGCAGCCGTTTTAAGCTACACATTGGTTGAAAGATGTGGGGATCCATTAATCAAACAGTTAGTGGCACCTGCTGATAATCTATGAAAAATTCACCAAGGGGAGCCAAAAGTCTAGAAACAGAAGCCAGAAACACATTTCATGAGTTTGAGTTAGATATGTTGCTAACATACAACATGAAATAGACTTTGAATTAAAATAACTGAAGACAAACTTTAAAAGCCTGGTTCAAGTAGCAAGTTACCTGTTTTGATATGACAAATTACTCTTTTAACAAATCATAATTAATTCTTGTTTTCAAGTAAATGTGTAGCTCTCCAAGTCACTGATTCACTGACACTGCATTTTAACAACTCTTAGAAATATTAAGAATTAATCAAGAAAACATGTATTATAGGATATATGGTGGAGCTTTAGAGTTTTTGTGTTTTTCTGTTATGCTTAGAAATATTCCTATAAAAATCCCTCAGCTTGTATGGTTCTGCTGCTCAAGACTTTTTAGAGGGAAATAGTGTGATCAATAGAAATTATAAATCCAGGAATAGATTTAGGATAGAATTCAACTTTTTATTGTCATTTCACTGTCACAAGAACAAAGCAATGAAATTCACTCTCTACCTTTAGCCCATCCCTTTGGAGAGCAGTGGGCTGCCATTGTGCGGCGCCCGGGTACCAGTGTGGGGTTAAGGGTCTTGCTCAGGGACCCAGAGTGGCAGTCAGTGGGAGTGGGGCTCGAACTCAGAACCTCAGGATTCCAAGCTCTATGCTGTAACAACATGGCCGCCACTCCCCCAGTTAGATTGTAATTTATTTTATTAGTGTTAAAAGAAACAGGTATAAAATGATTTCACAAATAAAAAAAAATTATAAATGATTAAAAATATATAATAAATAGTAAAAAAACGGATGAATATTTATACAAAATATGTTAAAATTACAGAATGTTAATGGTTGTAATTAGTCTGAAACTAAAAATATATTTTGAAGATTTGTATAAAAAAATCTTACAATCTGAATTTTGAATTAAAGAGTTCTGCCTTCAGAGCATCAGCAACCATCCTTTGGTGTTTTTACTAATGAGAACCATTGAGCTGATGTCATAATTTGTCCTTTTTTCCATATTAAATAAATTCACTTCTTCTCTTCTCTTCCTGATTGTGCTTTGGGATTTTTTCTAGTTGGGAGACACTTTTCATTGGAGGCTAAGAGGTTAAAGGAAGCAGCAGGATGAAGTCCAAAGGAAAGGCTGTGAGAAGCTCCAGGAGGCCCTGGTCTGATCCTGAGCCAGAGAACGAACCCGACACAGAGCCCGGCTCCAGTGAGCAGGAAGGATCAGAGGCTTCAGTTCGGATCGGCGGCTCCTGGAAAGGCTCTCTGAGGAGCGGCGACGGGAGGCGCCGTCAGGGAGGAGGAGGAACGGGTGGAGGAGGCGGGCGGCGGCGCAGGATGTACGGCACCAGCACCAAGGAGCGCAGCATCCGAAGGCTGGAGAGCAACGAGCGGGAGAGGCAGCGAATGCACAAACTGAACAACGCCTTTCAGGCCCTGCGGGAAGCCATCCCACACGTGAAGATGGACAAGAAGCTGTCCAAGATCGAGACTCTTACTCTGGCTAAGAACTACATCAAAGCTTTGACCACCATCATCCTGGACATGTCGGGGGCCTGCCTGCCCACTGAGGGGGGGCCCTCAGATGCCCGGCTGCTGCAGTGCTACCAGCAGCACCTGGAGGAGGAGGGGGAGGATGGCCTCACCCAGTACCTCACCCACATGAAGAGCTTTGGCCAGGAAAGCTAACAGACTGGAACTGTGGAACGGTTTAGGGACCAAGACACACCCGCTCAATGGCCGTCCTCCTTAGAACTGACTGCTACCCTCAGTGCCTACAAATGTTTTTATACCTCAACAACTTTTCCAGATTTCTCACCTTAAAACCAAACATTTATTTCATTGGGATCTTATTTGACAGACAATCGCAAAGCAGTGTACAGTTTTAAGAGAGAAATTAAACATGGTTTCCAAGAGTTTTTGAAAGTAAAGAACTACAAATATGGTGCATTTATTTCTGCCCCCTTTATTCTGATACCCCGAAATAAAACTTACATTTATTTAGAAATTTCAGCCATTGGAGAATCTTGATGAACAATTCTAACTAGGAACTCCGCAGACAGATTAGGAAAACATTCTGTGGATAATTTAGAGCAAGGTGATTTAATTAAAAAACACCCGAAGCTTTAACCATCCTATCAGGCTCTATGAGGCAATAAACAAACATTCAAAGAATCAGGCACAAATACATCAAGAAAAAAAAAAGCTATTGGTGAAAGAAAATCCATTAGAAACCCTGTTTACAAACTGTCACAAGAAGTACGAGACAAAGCAAACGTGGAGGAAGGTTGTCAAAATAACCGCACCCTAAACAGTCCGTCCTCCATTTAAAACCTTGAGGTGGTGCTATGATACAGTGGAAGGGATTTTCTTAGCTAGAGACAAGACAATATAGTATATTTGATGGGGATGCATGGATCTAAACTGCAAAACAGACTAGTGAGGAGGTTAACCATCAGAGAAGACGGTGACTCCAAACATCCAGACCTACACTAGAACGGTTTAAAGCATTGATTACAGGGAGGAGTCAAAGTCCAGCTCTGATCCAAATGTGCAGTTTATGACAAAATTTAAAAAAAGATTTTCACAGATCTGAGGTAATTTGCAAAGAAAACTGTCTTCTTTTGTAAACTGTTTAAGACAGGATATCTTGAAAGACTGTAGTTGCACCGAAACATGGTTGTAGAAAATGATCCCATTCTTATGTATAATATCATTGTAACTTTGTATTGTCTGTCACATTATTCTGAAGTTGTTGGAGGGATGAGAATATTTTTGAGATGCGCTGTAACCCCATAAAACATGCTTGAACATAATGAGCTGGTTGTCTAGAACATGTCGACCTGTAAAAGCATAGACTGCAGCGAACAGTGCTGAATGTGAAATGCTTGATGAGCAGAAGGACTCTCCCTTTTTCAAACTTTCTTTGCAGCTCAAAGGAACTTCTTCTCTTTTGTTGCTATCTTGCGATCTGTGTGCGTGCTTGTTCGTTTAGAAACTTGCTGAGTGTAAGCTCTGGTCATAACGGTCATATTCAGGAAGGATGGAGGAGGACAAGCAGCAGGTTTGAATATTGCAGCGTTGTTGCAAGAGACCTCATGTGACCCATGATAATCAATTACGATAAAGCTGAAAGGAATTTGCATCTTTTCCTGCAGCATTAGCGGCATTAGCTGTTTGGCTAGTGTCAACTCTTAAGTGTGTGTTGTTTTGGGTTTTTTTTTCTCCTGCATTTTAACTCATTCCCGGGTTTAAAAAAAAAAATGTGAAAAGATTGTTTGAGTAGTAGCTATAAAAATAAAACCTTTTATTTATTGACACCGACTTTTATTTTGGAGAATGCACAACTGGATCATGTTACACAATATGATTACTATTTACAGATAATGCTGCCTTTCAGCACACGATCAACATTTAAAGACGCTGCAGCAGTCACACAGTGAATTGTTATGCAACCATTTTATAAGTTAATGTTCGTCTCATCAAACTCCTTAGCAACAGGAACAATCACTTCTATTACAACTTGTTATAGTACCTTATAACATTCACAAAACTATTTATATAACTGATTATATTTACAAGTAAATAAAGAAAACATGTTTACAACTGCTCAGTCATTGTCCAATCATCTGGCCAAAGGAAGTAGAAGACATGTAGATGCAACCACTCATAAGAAAGAGGAAGGTTTAGTTTAAACATTTAAAACACCCTTTTTTTTCCCCAAGTAATCCCCTTTTCTCCTGTTAATAAAGTTTAACAGTGCATTTGCACCACTATATCGTATTTGAAATAACATATTCATTGAAAGTGTTATTGACAGGAAGTCACCTGAAACCAGTTTGTGAATCTGTGTTGTCATGGTGACCTTTTATTAGTGCTCTGTTTTTTTAATGTTTCGTTTTCCAGGCCTTCGACGCCCAGAACTCCTCAGCTTTGCTGAGAAACGTGAAGTTTGACCTTTCCAAACGAGTCCTGCTCCTGGAATCATTTTTAAAATGAAGAAACTGCTTGGAACTGTTTACTTTATGGTGAAAAAAGAGAAGTTTTATCTCTGATGAACGGATGGCAGAAGTCACTGTGACACGGTTAAAGTGTTTTTTTAAAAAGCTTTTTATATACAGTGGGTTTCAAATGTTTTCACACCTCAGATAATAAATAATCTCACATATATGTTATACAACATATTATCTGTCCAATTTAGCAAACAATTTGTTAATTTGTATCTTTTAGCTGAAGCCTTATTTAGCAGAGATGTAACAAAGGAACTTCTAAGTAGGATCAGGTCTGCAAGATAGATTTCTTTTCTTCTGAAACAAGATCATCAGTTAAAAAAGGTAGTGTCATCATCCCTCTGGGGTTATTTTACTGCACACATAAGAATGGTCATAATTATGAACAGCCCTGTGTTACCTAGAAAGCTGATTTTATTTTATATATATAAATATAAAGGATGATTTCCTGAGAGGAAACAACCTTAAAAGCTAAATTCAACAGAAATAGAGAAAATGAAGAAGTATTATATAATATAACACAAAACATTTCTTTTCTCTAAGGTGAACTGGTTTTAACACAAACAAATTAAAACACACCCGAAAATACTAAATCAAATTTGAAACAACTAAAAAAGGCCCCGAGACCAACAGGCTTCCACAAATACTAACAAAATACAAACATCACTGACAAAGAAGAAAACATTCACAGAATTTAAATCTCTAGTTTAAATTACAGACTGGCTCAGACTCTCTGAATACTACAACCTGCTGGCATCTCCAAACCTGAAGGTTAGATCTCTTCTCCAAATAGTCTGCAGTTTGAGGGCTACATTAGGAGCTCAAGGTGCTGCTGATCGCTGTGCTCCTGACCAGGAGGGGGCTGCAAGGGGCTGGGGGGGCGGCTATGTCCTGGAGGAAAGACAGATGTGCGGTGGCTCCATGGAGTTTCCTCTTACTGTGATGTGGTCCCATCCACCCTAGAAAGAGACAGAAACAACACTTAAACAGTGTTGTATAAAGTACTGAAATGTCAGAGTCAAGTAAAAGTATAAGTACCTCTCCAAAATATGACTTTGGTAAATGTCCAAGTCACTGACTGAAATGTTGAGTAAAAGTCTTAAAGGAATAGTACACCCAAAACATGATTAGCCTTCATTTTCTACTCACCCCCATGCTGAACAACACTCTGGAGTACTTTTTTGATATCTCAAATGCATCTGGAGATCTGGGAGGCTTCTTGCTGTCTGCTGACATTCAAATAATGGAGGTCTATGGTGACCGAGACAAAAAGGTCCATAAAAGTCCACAAAAAACGTGTCAATATTCCTCCATACTGCTCGTCCAATGTATTCCAAGTGTCCTGAGTGGGTAGCGTCCATAATTTACTCGAAACGAAGTCATTTAGAATGTTTTTAGAGCATAAACAGTAGTGTATAGGATTTCCTGAAAGCGCGTTCACGACGCTACGGAAACCGCGGCAGACCAAACCAGATGAAAGTGCGCATTCAGCGTCTGCTCTGCCGATAATGCAAGCGTAGAAGAAGAAATGTGCTGTTTACCTGTGCAAAGAAAGAAACAACGAAAGAAAAATGTCTGAGGACTTCAGTGTTGAGGAAGAGCAGGAGTTCTTTGCCGAGCTGAATGCGCACTTTCATCTGGTTTGTTCTGCCGCGGTTTCCGTAGACTTGTGAACACGCTTTCAGGAAATCCTATACACTACTGTTTATGCTCTAAAAACATTCTAAATGACTTCGTTTCGAGTAAATTCTGGATGCTACCCACTCAGGACACTTGGAATACATTGGACGACCAGTATGGAGGAATATTGACACGTTTTTTGTGGACTTTTATGGACCTTTCTGCCTCGGGCGCCATAGACCTCCATTATTTGAATGTCAGCAGACAGCAAGAAGCCTCCCAGATCTCCAGATGCATTTGAGATATCAAAAAAGTACTCCAGAGTGTTGTTCAGCATGGGGGTGAGTAGAAAATGAAGGCTAATCATGTTTTGGGTGTACTATTCCTTTAAAGTATCTGAAATGTACTTAAGTATAAGAATTACGGTAAAAATAGATCTACTCAAGTGATGTAGTCTCATTCATTTTTTTTAATTTAGTAACTAAACCAAACATTGAAAATGTATCGGAGTAAAAGTATGCAATTAAGTTTGTAAATGTAGTGAAGTAAAAGTGAAAGTTCTCAAAAAAATGTATACTCTTGGAAAGTATGAAGTACTCCAAAATATACTTAAGTACAGTAATGAAGTATTTTTACTTCGTTACTATACAACACTGCACTTACAGCATCCTATGTGTTGTTGCCTAGCAGCAGGAAGGTCCTGGATGCAAATCATGGTCTGGGGTCTTTCTGCACACAGTCGGCATGTTTTACCCATCTCTAAAATGTTAGTGGTTAATGTTGGTTAGTGTCGTTTTCCTGTGTGCTGTCCAGAATTTGACCCGCTAACACAAAATAAGCAGCTATGATCAGTGGATGGATGCTAAATGGTCTTTATGAGGTCGTCCATTTTAAGTCAAAAAATGTGACAAAAAAAGCTTCTAGAAAGTATTAAATCAGGGGAAAGGAAGGCTGATGCATACAAGAAGTCCTCAGATACTCATTAGTATAAATGTCTAAATATCGTGTATCTTCATCTTTCCATAATTATATATGTCTTTTTTTTATCAAACAAAATCCCATTAGTATTGCAGAGAATGAGGCTGACTAGTTTTACCCCAATGCCATAATCCCAGGATTGTCCCTTTGGCTCCATGGGTTGGACTCCGAGTCGATGGCACACTGTCCCGCAGCTCAGACTGTGGCTGCCCTGAACCTTGTCTGCTATGATCCAAACCTACAGCAAACAACAACAATCAACGCAGGAAACATCAAACAGGTACATGCTAACAACTACCAATTAGACGTCGACTGATATATTTGGCTGATATTTGTTTTTTTCTTGTATTGGTATCCGCTGCTACGTGCCATGCATTCGCCGATTCTTTAGTGCATTCAGCAGTCATGCCTTGAGATCACGTAAAGCGCTCCCTGCATCTGCTATCTATTGTTAATATTTACTCTTAATAGTAATAATAATGATACACTCAAGGTCACAGAAAATTAAAAATAAATAAAAAGAAAGATGAAAATACAAAAATACAAACACAGGAACATAAAACAGTTATGGATAAGATAAATAGACGTGTATTCACAGATAAGCGAGCTGGAACAGATGGGTTTTGAGTCTGGCTTTGAATAAGGGGAGAGAGTCAATACTGCGGAGGTCGGGAGGAAGTGAGTTCCAGAGCTGGGGAGCAGAGCGGCTGAAGGCTCTGCTCCCCATGGTGACAAGTCGAGCTGGGGGTACAGTGAGGTGGATGGAGGAGGAGGATCTAAGGGAGCGGGAGGAGGTGGCAATGTGAAGGAGGTCTGACAGATATGGAGGAGCAAGGTTATGGATGGCTTTGAAAGTATAGAGAAGGATTTTAAATTGAATTCTGAATTGAACTGGGAGCCAATGGAGTTAGTGAAGGACAGGGAAAATATGATGGAAGGAGGGGGTTCTGGTGATGACACGAGCAGCTGAGTTCTGAAGAAGTTGAAGTTTATGGAGAGATTTATGAGGGAGGCCAAAAAGAAGAGAATTGCAATAATCAATACGGGAGGTGATGAGGCTGTGGATAAGGACAGAGGCAGTATGAGTGGTGAGGGAGGAACGGAGACGGTTAATGTTGCCAAGGTGGAAGTATGCAGACCTGGTAATTTTATTTATGTGAGACTGAAAGGAGAGGGAGGAGTCGAGGATGACACCCAGACTCTTGACCTGAGGGGAGGGGGAGACTAAGGAGTTGTCAATGGGTAGTGAGAAACTTTTGATTTTAGATAGGGTGGATTTAGCAGATACTATTTTTTCAAGTATTTTAGAGATAAAGGGAAGATTAGAAATGGGACGAAGATTATTAAAGTTAGTGGGATCAGAACCAGGTTTTTTCAGAATCGGGGAGACAGATGCAGTTTTGAAAAATGAAGGAACAATACCAGAGGAGAGTGAGGAATGAATAATGGAAGTAATGAAGGGGAGGAGGGAGGTAAGACAGGTTTTACATAGAGCTGTGGGGAGGGGGTCAAGAGAACAGGTAGAGGACTTGGATTTTTGAATAAGGTCAGAAATTTCACAGGAAGTGGGCGGTAGGAAGAGGAGAATGACTGGCTATGGGTGAGGGGCGGATGGGAAGGGGGAGGCAAGGCGGTCATATCTAATAGCTGGTGAATGGAACTATTTTTTTATTAAAAAAGGTTATCAAAGAATTACAAGTCTGACTAGAATACATGTAAGAAGGCAGGTTATCAGGGGGGTCAAAGATCTTGTGCATAATTACTTTTTTATTTAAGGTCAGCCTTTTAGCATTACATATCATCTTGTCAGTTTCTATCATGTAAAAGGAGGAAGGAAAAGCAACATTAGCATCAAGAATCCACCCCTCAAAAAAAAACAGAAGCACATATCGGGGGGTCAGTTCTCAATAATAATCCGTATCAGTCTTTTAATAACAGAATCTCCAAAACAAGTGGAACACTTTTATTTAAGGATTAGAAAAAAATGAAGTCTAAATGCCAACACGATGCACTGCGTTTCTCTTTTCTGGGTCTCCTGATAAATGTCTGTAAAATGTTTGTACTCACCTGATCCAAGGGCCCTACAGAGACTTTTCGCACATTGTTGGAGATGTGCTCCCAGGAGGAACCCTGAGGGTACCTGGGGGTCACCCCCTGCCTGTACCACAGGTTACCTACAGGAGAGAAGTTTACCAAAATCACTCAGGAGCTCCTTTAAAACCAGGCTGCTAGCCACACATGCAGAGGACTTACCATTTTCATCGACAGCATAAACTGATGTTCTGCCAACAGACACCTGCTTTAACTTCTGCTTCGCCGGCGTGGGGATGTGGTACCAACAATCGCCTGCAGATGGAGACACTGCACTTTTAGTTTTTAGGCATATTTTATGGTATTTAAAAGACATAAACATGTCTGTGCTGCTCAGCTGCTGATTTTCAGACTCTGAACTTCTCCTGACCTGCTGGGTTCTGGGGTGAAACTGAACCCCGATAGAAGGCGGAACCGTCTCTGGCGATGGCCCAGACCTGGCTGCCAGCGCCGATAGAGATGGACTTAAAAGGCTGGTCTGTCCCAACATGAAGCCATGACGTTCCCTGAGGGACAGGGGAAAAAAAGAAACACTTAAGACTGAATCCTAACTATATTGTAGCTATAACCTTAAATGGTTATTTTAGATTTTTTTTATTACAGATCAACATAAAGAAATGCAGGATTGTTGAAATTAGGACATTCTGGGACATTTTGAAAATATCTGTACTCATCCTCCTTCACTGGAAAAAACAATCTAGAAATAAGTAAAACATTCCTTAAATTAAGTGTATTTACCCTTAATTTGAGTAGGCAAATGAGATAGTTTGCCAATAGAATTAGCATTTTTACTCTTAAAATAAGATAATTAGATAAAATGCACTTGAAACAGGACAATCCAATTGTGTTTTCTTATTACAAATGTAAATTGTCTTGTTCCATTGGCAAAATTTCTCTTTTTCTTCCTAAATCCAAGAACAAATACTACACTTATTTTAAGAAATAATTACTTATCTAGTTTTCGATTTTTTCCAGTGTTTTACTCTGAGAAAGATAATCCAGTGTGCCCAACAGCCACAAGAAGACAGTAGTTAAATAACTTTGGAGAAAAAAATGTGTCACAAAGAAATAGAAATAAATAACGATGTAGAGAGGCTTCAACAAGGGTTAGATTATGAAACAATCCCATTATGTGAATATTTTACAGATCACTGTTTATTCTGTTTACTTCAAGCCATGCAGGAGCAACAGCAAACAGAAAGAACTTCTACAAAATACTTTGTTGGAGGTACAATCAAAATCCCTGCCAGAAACATGGAGGTGCCAGCGACATTGGCTTGCATATAACTCACAGCAGGTGTCAGCAGTGTTACTCCCAGTCGACATAGGATGTCTCCTTTGTTGCTGATGGCCCACAGAGGAACTGTATCCACGCTGCTCTGAGCAGCACAAGGTAGGATTGTAACATCGCTCAGTGCGATTGGTGGAACTTCTTGCCACGGTCCGGTTGTTGTTAATTTACATTTCCTATGGATTCAAGAAATAGTGATTGATGAGCAAAGTTTATGTTGAAATAAAATGAAAATATCTCTGGTTTTAATGAACCCTTCAGGACAGAATATACCCACTAACAACTAACTGTACCCAACAGCAGTGTGGAGTTTCTACAGATACCTGGACCAGCGCCTGCGCCGGACAAAGTCCTTCATGGTTTTAGAGCCGTGATAAGACCTATCAGGAAACATGGAACAAGTTAAAGGACAGAAGAAAAAGGATATAAGTATAGCTTTTTAAAAAAAAAAACCTACGCTGGAAAATCTGCAGCATACTGCCAGCCCTCTTTGTCTGTTCCCCCAGAGACGCTGTAGTCAATAACCCAGTCAGACACCTAGACACGGGAAAGAGAAGTGAAACACTGAATGCACCTGGAGTTTACATTTTCTAGTTACCTAAGAATACCCAACTGTAGTTTTCTCAGAGTACCAAAATGGAACAAAAAAATATGGTTAAACCGCTGAGCTGTAGGAGCCCCGTCTGTCTGTGAGCTCAGCTTACCCATGTCCAATGAGGGGAAGGAGGCTTTGTACCAGTCTTTGTGCACTCATGTAACCCAGATGCATCACTCCACATGTAGCGGTCTGTTGGAAGTCCCCTAAAATGATTACAAAAAACCCAAGAAGACACACTATCATTAGATATATGAAACCATTACGAGCTAAAGCATGACCCTGAAACATGTCCGTGTACAACACCTGTTGCTGTAGCCAGTTACTGGGTTCCACCTCTGGTTCTCATAGATATAAACACTCTTGATGTCAGTCTGTGTGTAAACATTATCTGTGCTGCTTGCCAACCCCTGGAAGAAGCCTCCCCCATATCCCCCGGTGTAGACCCAGGCAGTGTGGTCATAGCCGAGGCCCCATACTATCCCCAGGCTGTTGCACTCCACTAAACGCAGGTGGCCTCCAACCTGTCGCCAGAACCTGCACAAACAAAACATATAACCTAATGGGAAAGTCATATTTGTTTATGTTTCAGTCTGTTAAATACAGTAGTATCCATTCAAAATTTCCCCACTTTCCTTGATGAGCTCTTGGCTGGTCCCCTACAACTCCTTTTTAAACATCAATATTTGTACTAAAATATTTTTTCTGTCAAGATTTGTGGACATTAAGATCTAAAGAGAATCTTCATCTCCTGGTCAGACCCTGTAATTCAGTCAAAGGGTGGAGTCAGACTAAAAAACTATGCAAGAGGGGGTCACTCCAGTGGCTGTAAGTTGGAGGGGATATCGCAGGGAGTTGGAGAGAAGTGGGCTGCCATTCGGCTGGCGTTTGAAGGGAAAGAGCCATTTTGAATGGCTGCTACTGTAATTTAGCAATCTGTTATTAGTCATGTACTCTGGCTTTTAAAATTTCTACACCAGTAGCTGGAAAGGGTTGCATATAAAGGTCTTCCAACTAAATAATTGCACAACATTAGCCTACTATATTTTTTTATTTCTGTTTTACATTTTATTTTATTTTTGTTTTGTCTGTTAGAATAATAACCATAATCAGACCACATGGTCGGAGGAATTAGTTTTTTTTATGAATTAACAAGGATCTAGTGGAACTGAGTTTGTAATGTCCAGCAGAGGTGTGAAAAATAGAGGACAGATCCAAAGTCAAGTGTAAAATAAGAGCAAACAAATCTAATAGAATAGAAAATCCCTTCATTGTCCCACAATGGGGAAATTCTGGGGTTACAGCAGCAAAAAGATTATAGAAAAAGGTCAAATGTGGACCTTAGAAGAGTGCATAAAATAATAGTGAAGATTTAAATAAAAAAATATATATAAGGTACTGTACTGTAGAGTTTTTTAACAATATAAATACTGTGCATCTGGAGAATAAATATTTTACATTTTTTACAGTAATGGATATTTTAAAACAGCAGTAACACCAGAGATGTGCAAAAATGATAGCAGCATGTTTTTTAACTGACTAAGATAGAAACTACAAAATCAGCCTGAATGGAACGACTGATTGAGGTTGTTGGGAACAGTGGTGGTTCTAGAGTCTTCCAGCTGCTGGGAGGAAGGATCTGTGATAACGCTCCCTGGTGCATTTAAGGTGCAGCAGTCTGTCACTGAAGGAGCTCTCCAGTTCAGCACCAGCTTCATGCATGGGGTGGGAGACATTATCCAACAGAGATGTTAATGTTAATGTTTTGATGCTACATCTCTATCAGTGGTAAACAGTGGCCTATGTCACACGAATATAGGTGTCAAACTCAAGTCTTTTTTCAAGCTTTTTTTGTTATTACACTGTCACAAGTACAGAGCAATGAAATGAACTCTTCTCATTTAACCCATCCCCCTGGGGAGCAGTGGGCTGCCATTGTGCGCAGTGTGAGGTTAAGGGTGTGTGCTCAGGGACCCAGAGTGGCAGTCTGTGGGGGTGGGGTTTGAATGCAGAACCTCTGCATTCCAAGCAAAATGCCCTAACCACTAGGCCATGCTCTTCGAGAGACAAAGAAAGGTGTATTGTGTCATAATGTATAAGCTGTGAGCGAAGTGGCTAAAATCAACTCTTTTTAAAGACCTGATGATGCTGAATGAGCCTGATACAGCAATGAGTTTGGCACCGCTGTCCTAACTAGAGCTGAAATAAAGTACTCTGAGTAATCCTGATTAACTGATCATTAAAAATAACTATCAACTAATTTGTTAATCAAATGACTAATGGTACATAGACTTTAAAACATGTCTTGTTTTAATGGTTACCAACATCTTCAGTCTAAATAAAACTTCTTAAACTTCTTAACTTTCATATGAAGACATTTTATATAGGGTTGCTCCTTCATGGAGCCAAAGTCTCCTTCTCCATACTAACTGTAAATCTTAGTTTCACTCTTTTTAAAAAAACTTTCTGTAAACATGGACGAATCAACTGCAGGTCACAGAGTTGCTACTGTTTTCCTTCCATATTCTGTTGATGTTGATGCATGCAGTCCTAAAAACTGGGAATGTGTTTTAATTCTTAACTAAACACCAAAGTTTGAAAGCAGCAGAGGGGATTTCTTACATTTGATCACAGGGTGTGGGGTAAGGCATGGCTTCGAGCGCGGAGGACGGCTCACTGACGAAGATGTCCCCTTTACAAGTGATGGACCAGATTGCCTGCTTGGATGGAGGACCCTGGATTCCTCTGGCATCACAGCAAGAAACACTCAGCAAAGCCAGCTGGAAAACAGACAGAAATAAAGAACAGGCTGTGAGCAACAGAAACAATGATGCAGATTCACTGAAAGCAGCAGCATTAGATCGCAAGGTTAAAGCAACATTTGCTCACTCACCATTTTTCTATCTCAACATGGAAAACAAATAAAATAGACAAAGTGTTTAAATCCATTATACCTGCTGCCGATCAGTAATTGCTTTAATAATTATGGCAGAAGCATAGAAACTTCATAGAATTAATTCAATCTTCGCAGACAGAAAAATTCCCATTTCAGTTAATTCACTTGGTACCCAACATGAAGGTTGGATTTTCCTGCCCTCCTGGCTCACCTATAATTACAGCTTAAGGCAAATAAAATGTGAAAAAACTAGTAGTTATTCTTCATTTCTGACCTTTTTTCTTAGGATTTCTTAGGATTTAGGATTTCTTCTCATTAAATCACCCCCCAAGCAGACTAGGTGATGCTGAATATCTAGAACTGGCGCCTCCGACCATCAACTATGGCCACAACAATTTGCTAAAAAAAATTGCTGTTTATAAGGAACTAAAACGGCTTGATAAGTAATATGTATATAAATGTTTCTTTTATGACTTTTGCTTTCTTCCAATTTGCTCTTGCAGTAGTGGGGAAGTACAGTAATAATTAATTGATATTAATAATACCTGAGCTTTATCGACCTCACCCTGGAGAGATGTATCTCTGCATTTAACCCGACCCATTAGGGAGCAGTGGGCTGCCATTGTGCAGCGCCTGGGTAGCAGTGTGGGGTTAAGGGTCTTGTTCAGGGACCCAGAGTAGAAGTCTGTGGGGATCCAACCAGGCATTTGCAACCTTCTCAGAACACAAGCGCACTGCTCTAATCACTAGGCCAACACTACACAATTGTAACCTTCCTCTCCTATTCCTACAAAATGGTTTGGCCACTGATTTATCTTCTATTTTATAAAGTTGTTTAGGAATAAAGATCCTCGATGCGCTACAGGTAAGAGCAGATGAGCGCGCACTGAGCTCTGGGTCGGGCTCCATCACTTTGATGGAGACACGTCACCTGATAAACACGCCTCACTCTTAACTACAGACAACCTGCTTTGTGACTGTGCTCTGATGGTCCTGCTGCCAGAAACCTGCTGTTTATCTGCACTAGATGAAGGTGAAATTTGGGCAATCCAACAGATATCATTTAGAGGCTCTGCTGTTTCCACCTGTTTTTTATCTCACATTTTTTTTTCCTTTCAGTAACAGTAACAGACAGAGTTTGGACTTCCAACCTTTACTGTTGCTCCAAAAAGCAAATTCTCCAATCGCTGAGCAAAAGGCCACCCCATGGTGGTTCCAATCCTTAATTACCGGTAAGAAATTCTACCTTAAAAAGGAATTGAATGAAATGTTTTTATTTTACTTTACAAAAACATACATTGTTATTTTAATTGGCAGCATCTCTTTAACTGTAAAGTGTTTTGGTCACCTTAGTTGGTTGTTGTGAAGCACTTTATAAATCAACCAATAATCTTTAGCAACACTTTTATTTATTTTAATTTATAATTGAACATTAAATTAACATCTAGGCACCAACTCAAAGGCCTACTGCAAAAGTTGCTTTTCCCACATTTTACAACAAAAATAAAGAGTTAGATGAACTTTTACCGGTTAAGATAACCAACTACTTAAGCATTATAAGTCCAGGAAACTCAGTCAATATAGTTTAATATTATAAACACCTTGGTTTCATTAACTGAATTCTTGTCCTTATATTTAACATTATTTTTTCAGGTTTACACAACAAATAATAGTTGTCCAGCCCAAAAAAGGAAGGGGCTTTTTTCCTTTTACAGTATAAAAGAATCTCAGTAATTTCACTTTCATTTTCATAAGATGATCTGCTGCTGATATCATGATAAAAAGCACAGGAAGCCCAAAGGTTTTGGTTTTAAAAGTTACATTTTTAGCCATTAAACTCTTATCAATTCCCCAAATGTTTTACATTGATTATTCAATATTGAATATTTATATAAATATTTCCTATGTAAACAGTAAATGAATAGGCTAATGATACAGTTCTAGGGGTCCCACACGATATAAATATGACAGATGTTGGTCATAATTCTGTTATTTTATTCTAGGCCTAGCCCATGCTATCAGCTGGCCTGCCTGGCATTTGCCCGTTTGTTGGATTGAATGCCATCTCTGATCTTTCACTGTATCCAGTCCATGCTGTTTCTGTGAAGCATGAGTCATAAACGGCTGCCTTACTTTGAACCCTCGCCTGAAAGGTCAGAGGTTATTTTGCTGTATTCAAATTCTGAAACAAACCCTTATAAAAGAGTAGACTCTTGCTCTGTTCGAAAACCTAGGACGCGTCCTTAGAAGGCCAGATTCGAAGTACGATTACGTCATAGCGCGGCGCTGAGGTCTGGTTGGATTCCAAGACTCCTCGTTATGCGGCCTTAAAATGCGGCCTTCTTTTTGCCTGATTTTAAGGACGGGTCCGATGTATCCTCGCTATCCTTGGATATCCCAGGATTCCTTGCGAGTCCAAGCAAGCTGTGATCAGAGGAAAGGTTACTTGGCGCCGAACAGTGGTGAAAATTGGAAGTTCAGTTTGATATAATACAAGTCAGTTCCGTCTGAGATTAATGAAAATAGTTGTTTTAATGGTTATTGAGTCATATATGTGGCGGTAATGTTTGGTTTATCTAAATGTTTTTATCTGTTACTGTGTAAATGGGTTTGGCTGTAATTTAAGGACAGATTCTAATAAATCTGCAGCGTGGGAACTATAAATCTGATAGGATTGTAATATGCTTAACTAAGATTTTTTTGTTGTTGAATATTAGAGATTTTGCAGATATATTTTTTATACATACATTGTTTAGATTTACTTATATCTTTCTACCCCTTTTATAGAATAGAAAATCTCTTTATTGTCCCACAATGGGCAGATTTACAGCAGCAGAAAGATTATTGAAAATGGTCACATAAATGAGGACCTTAGAAAAATGTATAAGAATAAGATAATAGGGAAGAGTTAAAATATAAACAATACAATTCTGTAAAGTGTTTTAACAATATAAAACTGGAGAATAAATAACCAATATGCAGCTATGGACATTTTTACAGTAATGGATATTTGAAAATAGCAGCAACATCAGAGATGTGCAGAATGACAGCAGCAGGTTATTTAACTGACTAAGGTTTCTATCATTACATTTGATTTGATTTGTTCCTGCTCCCGGTGGTTGGAACCTTTATTCCACTCTGGATTCTTGTTAATGTAGTCTTTGTTCACTTTACAATAAAAAGAAATAAATAAACAAACAGTTTTGAAAACTTCGGTATTCATTTTTTTCCTGCTTTGTGTGTCAACTTTCATGGTTGCTAAGCCACAGACCTTACGGTGGTAAAACCCGCCGAAGGGTAGACCTGGTCAGATTCACAGCCAAAACTCATCCGGTTTCCTTATTTTGAAGGACTTCGAAGGATCCAGTCTAGGTAGACCGCGTCCTTGGAGGATGCAGCCCAGGATTTCGAACAGAGCCCCTGAATTGTTTGCTGTGATGCATGAATTACGGCCGCCATCTTGGAGCGGTCGTCCTACCGGGTTGGCTAAACTAAAACAGCAGGAGATGCCTCAGCTCTGTGTGGCATGCTTCTGTACAAATCGGACTATTGACGTCAGACTCCAGGTATAAAGTGAAGTGACTATATTATTTGTAATTTGTGATTAGAAATATTACTCTTGCTATTTATGTCCAACAGTGAAATATCAGCTTATGTTGGCTGTGATATTTGGTGCAGCTGTTCACCTTATCAATGAAGGTGCACCAAGATTTTGCTAGTATTTCTTAAAATAAGGCTGCACCACATTACCAAACTTTATCTTCCTGTCTGTCTTTCTATGAATCTATAATTCCTATTTATATCTATTTAAACAAGAATAGTAGTGTTAACAGCCCGATCCGGCGGGGTAGAATCTCAGTCTGGATAGACGTTTCTCCGTGGCTCTAGCTTGGCCCCACTGCGGCTTTACCTTTCTTATACCTCATCCAAAATACTTAGGTTAACCTGAGCTATTTTTTGCATTTTTGGTGTGATAGGCATAGACTGCTGGAGAAAATAGGGATCCTTATTCATCATTATATTTCTATTCTCCCATTCTGCAGTATTTGTTAGTCCAATCTCTAACGTTCTGCTCTCTCTGCTTTCTCTCATCATAGTAGCTTCATCTGATCTGTTCCTGTTTGGCTGTAAAATCATCCCGGATAGAAGTATCAGCTGTGCTGCTGCCATCAACACCTTTGTTTATAGATGTTGAAGCTTAGCGTGTTTTCCAGTGTAGTCCTGTTTCTCTGACTGTGACTGGCTGGATGTGCTCTCTTCATCCTCTGACATGGGAGCTGGCTCGGAGCTTGTCTGCCTGGCTGTGTGTTTCCTGGACGGGGCCGCCTTTTACAGCTGCTTTCTGTATCTATGCTTCTTTTTCTATGTCTACTTCTGTCTCCTTGAACCCCAGTCGGCCTCAGCAGAGGGCCGCTCACACTGAGCCTGGTTCTGCTGGAGGTTTCTTCCTGTTCAAAGGGAGTTTTTCCTCTCCACTGTCGCTACAAAGCATGCTTGGTGTGAGGGATTGCTGAAGAGTCAATGAGTCGTTGCAATCAACTCCTTAGTGTTTTCCTTAGATATAAACTAAATCCATTCTGACTGTATGATCTGGTTGAACTGTAAAGTGCCTTGAGATGACATGTGTTTTGAATTGGTGCTATAGAAATAAACTGATTTGAAAAAAATGAATTGAATTGTAGTGTGAATAACATTACATCTTATCTTTAATTACATCATTACATTCATAAAAGGTTAGAAAATAAGCATTTAGTCGTGGATTTAGCTTTAGCTTCATACACACCCAATCGTACATCTCCAGCTCTGTGGCAGCCGCCAATCTTATCGGCCATCTCTGTTTGGTACGTTCAGGGGTGTAGACGGCAAAAGTGTGTTTGGAGTCATTGAGCACAGGAACCAGGATTGTCACTTCATTAATGAAGGCATGAAGGTACTAAAATAAGACAGAGTAAGGAGAAAAAAAATCAGCTTCTGCGTTTTATGTCAATGTTTAAACAAAGAGAATAATGGATTACAGCGAAGAATTTACGCTCCTCAAATAGTCTATAAGCATATGTGGAAAACTGATTATAAATGAGACGTTCTATAAATGCATAACCCCCATTTACACGAAAAGATCCTTACCTTCTTCTCGTCATGGTAATTGTAATAAACAAATAAAATTCCATCCTTGTTGCCATCAGCTCCTGAAAACTGCTCGAGTGCGAAGTGAACATCGACCCACTTATGCGGCTTCCAGTCTCTCCACCACTGCATGGCTCCTTTTTTCACCCACACCGACTGCAAAAACAGTTCAAGTCAAAACAGAAAAAAAGCCACAGCAGGAAACACTGCGTGATCTTTACAGCATTTACTTTTTCAATGGCTTGTTCATAATGTCTGAAATCGTCCATCTCTCTCTTGGAGCGTTCACTGAGCTGTTGGAAGATTTGTTTCCTCCAAGCTGCCGTCTGAGCAGGAGACACCGACAGACTCATGGACTGAACCGACTGCAGCACAGCTGGTGGAAGACAGGTAAAGAAACATAAGTTGAAAACCTTACAGGATGGAATAAGTGTCACAAGTTTTCACATATTGATTACAGGCATAAACGTCAACACTGGGTTTCTAAAATGTGTTTTTAAATCATCCTGCTTCTCTGGGTGGAATAATCAGTTTAAATTTGTCATAGAGATTCGATCCTAGATAAGGACCAAAGTCATATGTACAGGTTTAATTATATACAAGCATCCACTATTAATGGGCTCAAGTATCATAAACTAGAAGCTACTGGAAACCAGTTTAATTGTCCTCAGTAAAGCAATTTCTGTATTATTATAAAGGGAAGAAAGAAACATTTGGTTAAAAATGGCAAGCTAACTCAGAACTCATCTGCCTGGCTGAGTGGACAGGGCCCCCTGTGAAGCAGGTTGAGAGTTGCTTTTTGTATCTCTGCTTCTGTCTCCTTGAACCCCAGTCGGCCTCAGCAGATGGCCGCTCACACTGAGCCTGGTTCTGCTGGAGGTTTCTTCCTGTTCAAAGGGAGTTTTTCCTCTTCACTGTCTCTACAAGCATGCTTAGTGTGAGGGATTGCTGAAGAGTCAATGAGTCGATGCAATCAGCTGGTTTTCCTCAGACAGAAAACTTTTAATCAATCTGACTGGACGATCTAGTGAACTGTAAAGTGCCTTGAGATGACTTATAGAATATATAGATAATATAGAAATAAACTGAATTTAATTTAAATAAAAATGAGAAAAGCCAGAGGATTTATCCCACATTTGAGTAAATGACTGACTCTGTAAGATAGGACATAATCTATAGAGCTGGGACAGGAAAAAACATCTTCAAGAAGTTTGATCCCATTAAAAAAATTAAAACAGTCCATTTAGAGACCAAGGTTGACCTCAGTAGAGGAACTGATGTAACAAATGTTTAAATAGAGGATTGGTTTGTGTGATTCTATGAAAAGTGTCTTTGCTCAGAATCTAAAGAGACAACAATATAGAAATTTGAATCGTGGAAAGTGCATCTAAATAAAAGTAGGGTTAGAAAATTTATTCGAAATGATCCGTCTAAAAATCATCATCAGCAGCAGCTGTTAAAACTACTTAAATATGTGAATTGATATATACCTATACCTGATACTGGTTTCAAATGCAGAGAGTTCCATTGGTATCAACATGTTGGTATCAACAAAAATAAAGACATTTTATTTCTCAATGCACCTACACCGATACCCAACAGATCTGGAAATGAAAGCCCATCAGTTTAGATTCATAGACTTTGCAGCGTTAAAAGCTAAAGACGGTTATTAAGCTCATAACTGGATCAAAACTGAGCGATGCTCGGATCAATCAATGGAAAGAATAACCGATTTTCCTTAAAATAAACTTCTTTTTTGGAAAGCTGTGATATTAGACTTATCCTAGAGGACATTTAAACCTTCCCAGATATATTTTCACATATTTGTTTCTGTATTTTAGTTTTGCTTTAAAATATTCAGTATGTGTATCTTATTCTGTTGGGATGGGACTTTAATATATATACCAAAAGTACTGCCGTTTACTGTAAAGATGTTGCTTAGAGCCAAACTTTTTTGAAGAATAGTTTCATGAGGAAAAGATTGATAATATTTAGCTAAACTTCCAAAGCAAATGAAAAAGCTGAGGCCTACACCAAGTTTCAATCATTGCTCTGGCAGCTTCATGGTTAGAAAGCTGAGACATTACAGAGGATAGTTGAAACTTTGATAGAGATTTTTTGATCCCAAATGTGTTAAAACAGGTTCAAACATGCTAACTTTAGGCGTGTGGAATTTGCTGCAAAGCAAACTTTGTTTAAGCCAGAAGTTTGATACCGGTTCCACAACTTCACAGGGTTCCTCTGCAGCCTCCAACACTTACCCTAATACCAGTTTTTGGGGAGTTTTTTTTTTGTTTGCACTGAGGAAATTAACTTAGCTTCTGTTTCGCATTACTGAAAATAATACTTTTAATTTGCACGCTAAGTGTATGTAAACTTCTTCCTCCTTTATGTCGTATTTTCTATTTATAGAATCTACTTTCTAATGAGTTGTTTGAAAATATAACCTACATGTGTTCAAAGAGCAGTTAAACCAGTTGAGCTGAGAGTGGCTGTCCACAGAGCAGCCTCCTCCGCTAACCCAGGCCCACAGAGGATGCTCATCTGCCCCGAACTGGTCCTCCATGGTGAGGGTGTAGGTTGCCACTGAGGACAAACTGCAGGAGTCAGCGCAGTCTGGAACGGCCCCCATCTGACCATGCTGGATCTGTGCCTCCTCCAGATCCACATTACTCCACTGGGGATCAGGGCCTCCTGCCTGGGTGGAGGTCACAGCATCGACCTCTCCGTCACCAGGAGCGACCTCCTCCTCCAAGACAGCAGAGGAGGCTGATTCGGCATCTCCAGAGGTCTTCGCCGGTTTTCGGTCAGAGACGAGTTCGGAGATGAAGCTGTCGCTTGTAACCTTTGGGATGTGGGGCTTAAGCGGCTCCATGCAAAGTTCTGATGCCGCTTTCTGGGGGGCATCTACAAAATGGTCTTCATTAGGGAATGTGACATTGCTCATGGCTCCATCCCCTGGTGGATTTTCTACATCTGATTCAGTATCACTCACGACTGACGGAGCTCGCACCTCGCCAGAGAAAAAACATCCAGCACTGTGGAGAACAAAGAGGAAAACAGAATTTTACCAACACTCCACAAACACTTTATTGCAATAAAACATTGTTTGCATCCTTTAAGAGAGGGAACCCACTGCATGTTTTAGGATCTTTTCTGCCTCCAAACACCTGACTTCAATAAATGGGTGATTAAAAGCTGGAGATCCCTGCTGTGGGATGTCCTTACCTATGCAGACTGTTTGCACTAGCGCTGGAGTGGGATCGATCCCCATCTCTAGGAACATTGATGGCCTTCCAGGTTTTACCGCTGAGCTCACTGAAGGTGACACCCTGTCTGAAGTATACGGCTCGGTCCTCACAGCCAATCGCCCACACCTGAAACAGGGAAACAACCACAAAATGATGCAGTGAGGATGGGGGAGGATTCTAACAAGCATTTTGGTCCTTAAACAAACATTTTCTATTTTCTTTACATAGTAGAAAATAGTGCAGAATTGTTTGAGAACATTAGTGAAGAAACAACTTCAGAATGAGAAACGAGTCAAGTCATAAATAAATCCTAAACATGAGGTTTAAACCTACAGATTTGAATAAATATTCATGTGTTAAAATTACCTTGTTAAAGTACAGCTTCAATCCATTATGACTTTCAAATGTATGAAGCATTAAATCTGACTGAGCTCAAGCTTTTGTGCATAAAAATATGCACAAAAAAACTCGGAGATCCATATTATTTGAAAAAGATTTAAAATGATGCTTTCTTTTCCTTTGATTACCCCATTATAACCCACTTCTTGTTGGTTTATTAATTCAAATACATCCATGATGATAGTTGTAAGGAGACAAAAGTCTTACAAGGATTCAATATAAAGCTGTTTTCTTCCACAAATAAAATATACTGAATATGGATTCTTGAGTCACCTGGTCGTTCAGTCCCACGTTGATCATGATCATTTCTCCAACCATGCTGATCCATCCAGAACCACAGGGGTTATGAGAGTCCACACCCCGCCTGAACCACACCTAAGACAGCAAGGTGAAAAACGGATTAGATTTTTTTTAAAGAGTTCATCAGTAACTTGCTTTTTTACTACTATTATTCATTTACATGTTATATTTTGGTTTTTGGAGCACTAGTGGCTCGTTAATGGAAAGTAGGCTGACAGGAAAGGGGGTATAAAGCAGGGGGAGAGACATGTGGCAAAAGGACCAAGGGCCGGATTCAAACCCGGGTAGACTAGAGCCTCTGTACATGGGTCGTGCTCTACCGAAGCACGCACCTTATTCCTTTTTAAACTTTTTTACAGATTTTACATTTTCAAATTTAGGGAGGTTCATTGTTCAATAATAGGTTATGGTATTGAATACTATTCCCAGTGCTCATTTTTTTGCCAAAGAACTTTAACCACATCTGAAAACATTAGATTAGATGAGCTTTATTGATCTCACAGCGGAGAAATTCACTAATTCACATTTGTTAGCCTAGTGGATAGGGCAGTGCACTTGTGCCCTGAGAAGGTTGCAAATGCCCGGTTTGATCCCTACAGCCTGCACTCTGGGTTCCTAAGCATGGCCCTTAACCCCACACTGCTCCCAGGGCGCCGCACAGTGGCAGCCCACTGCACCCCAAGGGATGGGTTATAATGCAGAGAGTAAATTTCCCCAGTGTGAGACAATAAAGGGATTTACATTTGAAAAAACTGGTAAGTTGAAGGGTCTTTATTTTTGTTTATAACTTTATTACAATGTCATTGCATTAAGTAGAAATTCCATAAAAGTTCCAAAAATATCCACTGGACTTGGTTTCCAAGATTTGAAGACGTTTCTCCACTTCTCCAGGAAGCTTTCTCAATTCAAATGTCTGGATCCGCAGTGAGTCTTTATATGGACAAGGCCTTGTATCGCTTGGCAACATGCAAATGGAAACCGATGAGTGGGTCGTTTGGTTCCATTGTTAGCCTGTAATATCTGAAACCTGTCTATGTATGAAATAACCTTGTCTCTATACAGACTCAAACTGCGGATCCAGACATTTGAATTGAGAAAGCTTCCTGGAGAGGTGGCGAAATGTCTTGGAAAACCAAGTCCAGTGGATTTTTTGGAACTTTTAAGGAATGACTATGACCTGGATGATCTGGTTGAACTGTAAAGTGCCTTGAGATGACATGTGTTGTGAATTTGGCGCTATATAAATAAACTGAATTGAATTGAATTGGATGACTGAGAATCTTCATCAGCATTAAGTAGAAATATCTTTTATTTTCTTACTTTGTTGTCTTTGGTCAGAGCCCAGACTACATTCATCCCCACAGCTACATGTATAGCCCCCACCTCAGGGTTTGGAGACTCCACCACTGCCCAGGAAGTCCCTGACATACAGAGGAAACAGTGTTCTCAGACAAAAACCACTAAAAAGAATGCCATATGAGCAAAGTGCAGCTAGTACCTTTTGAGCAGTCCCGACCGATGCCCTCCCTGACCAGGAGTTGCCCTTCCCATAACACCGCCCAGACCAGGTCTCCAGGGCCGCAGCTAATCTGGACAACCTCCCCAGGAACAGGCACCTCCACCCATGCAGACCCCTCAGGATTGTGGTGAGAGATTTCCTCTCTGAACCACACCTAAATGGACAAAGAATCAGTGTTAAAAACAAAACAGTTCACTCATATTTATAAGCAGAACAGTTTGTCGACAACACTAGAAAATTATGGACACATACAGCTTTCTAATCTGCACAGGTTAAAATAAAACTGGTTTAGATACATAAATTCTGTGTTGTGAAAAGGTTCTTATTTAACAGGTGTTTTTTATGTCTTTGGCCACATGGACCAGAGATGGGTAGATTTTATTTAGAGAGTTCTAGATTTAACTATTATTAGGGATCAGATCTACCATGAGCTAAAGAACTGCTGAAACCCTACTGGTACTTTCTACAGTGAAACTAGAGGGACGATCCCCATGCACAGACCAAAGGAAGGGAATAGAGAGGAAGAAGGATGTTTACTTCCAAATTGTACATTTTCACAGCAAATTAACATCTAGATATTTAAAACATGGAAAAAACTGAGTGGTAAAACAGGATAGAAAAACACATTCAGGTGCTTAATTGTTTCCAGAAGTTAGGTAATGATGTGACAATGTGTGCAGTGGAGAAAATAACAATAACTTCAAACTTTCACACACATTTATTTTTTCTTAATATCAATTCAAATGATCAAACCAGGACAGAACCACCTCTTATTTGCGTTCAATTATCAAACCATATCATTGATTCCAGGGGTAAAGTGGGTCTTAATTAGCTGCAGTGTGTTGATGTGAGCTGTACCTTTCCTTGGATGGAGACGGCCCACAGAGACATCCGGCCCCTGGGCTCATCGCTGACCTCCCAGCCTCCACAGCTGATGTCGCTGAAGGGATCTGGTAGAGTTGTCTGCTGTGAGGGGATCTGTCACCACATAAACACAAATTAAAAAATGCAGGGTGCTGTTGAAGTGTTGATTGATTTATTGCTTTCTTTTGCTGTCTTATTTTTTTAAATGTTTTAGATCTTCAATTAATAGTAGTTTTGGAAAAACAAACAGAAAAATGTTAATGAGGATTTTATTCATTAAAGGGACAGTGTGTAGCTAATTTGGCTTTTTATACACAAAAAATGTTGATTTTTAGCTCTTATAAATACATTTTTCAACAAATGTCATTAATAATCATAAAAAAATAAGAGTTGCCTTAGCTTAGAATGAAATATGTTGCATCACAATCTTATCTTGATTATGGTAGCAATAAGTGATAGGATTGCATTATAAGGATTAATTAATTAATAGTAGCCTTTTTTGTCAGTTTTTCTTGATGTTCTTCAAGATGATCTTTTCATTAAAATATAGGCTTAAATATATTCTACGATTAAATCAAGTGTTAGATTTAAATAATTTATTAAGCCAATTGTAATAAATGCTGAATAAGTAAACAAACTATTAAACTAGACATATTTAGAACATAGAAAAAAATAGGAACCTATTAGCTTACTGAAAAAAGATGAATAAAATATTTGAAATAATTATGATTTCCATTATAGAGAGATGTAAAACTATTATTAAAGGACAGGGTATGTCACGCTGATATACCAACAGGCTATTTACCAATTTGTTTAAAATACATTAATTCTCTTGCTTAAGGATGAGCAGCAGGATTTAGAGTAAAAAAGTTGCCAGATCTTAGAAATAAACCCATCAGATAAAGATATATTACACTTTTCAAGACCTACAATAAATGTTGATTATGTTTTTAGAGCAAGAATGTAGCTTTGTTATCAATTTCTAATAAAAAAAACTTGACATCTATCATCACTATCATCTGCCATTGATGACCGAGCTCGATCAGTAAACTGCAATGCATCATGGGAAATTGAGGGACGTTGCATTTTTTTAGGTGAGAAGTAGCTTTGTTGAACTCAAATATCTACTTGCTTGGTCATGATTTCACAAATTAAATAAAAAGAAAAAAGATCTCCAATATTTCCTAAAGCATTATTTTCCCCAAGATCAATCTTTTTTTTTTTTGAAACACCTGAGACCTAATAAGCTTCTAAAACTTTGAAGTGTGTCAAAATAAACTAATAGCAGAAAGCATCTGAGTAGCAAACACTATTTCACAGAACTTGAAATAAACATCACTTATTTAGTTAGTGTGAAACACACCCACCTTGGCCCAGGTGTCCATGGCTTTATATCGTCTGTAGCGGAGCCATCGCCTGCGGCGGACGCAGGAGTTCCACTTCTTGTCTTTGGTGTAGGTGGCAGGGAAATCCATGGCATATGTCCACCCCTGCAAACCAAACACTTGAATTGTTGATACCACAAAAACAAAAAGGCCAATAAATGAATCAAAGCAGAATGACTTCTTTCTATGTGGGATATGCCATCATGCGTTGTTTCTTATTGCCAGTCGCCGCCCTCTCCAGCGGACAGAGGGGAAGCTGCGATGCCGGAAAGGGGCGTGGCTCCTGACCGGAGTTGTCACTCCTCTGCCAGTCGGGTTTGTAGCTATTACGGGCGGAGGTAAACCTGCTAAGGGAGTCAGCCTCTTTTTTTATCATGGCGTTTGTGGGGGGGTGGGGGGTTGACTGACTAGCTGAGTGGAAAGGCTGAATGACAAGAATGATGCCAATCATGAATCGCAATAATGAAATGAAATACATGCAATGAATGATGAACTGACACCTCTGATGTCCAGCCTGATGAATGCAATGAATGAAAATCAACTGACTGAATGATATAATGAATGCCATGAATGACTGGGATGCATGACTTCAATATGAATGACATACTGTCTTGAATGCTTTGCATGACACAACAGAATGAAGAGACCTGCCTGACCAAATGAATGCTGAAATTGCAATGAACACATGCACTTGCCGCCATGAATCGCAAACTTCTCCAGACCTGCCCTACTTACATGACTGCTTACCAGACTTAACTTCACTGAAATCATGAATGACTTTGAGATGAATGGAAAGAACTGACATATGACCTGAAAGCATTGAATTGAAAATAAATGAATGGAACTGGGGGATGAATGACTGCGGCTGCCTGCTGAGTTAACGAATGACTGACATTACAGCATGCTGCATAACGGAATTAATGATGCATTGACATTTTTACTGACTGAAGCATGCATTCACTGCAGACTCGACTGAAGCATGAAGGCATTGCATGATGAATTGCATATGCCTCTGATGCTACATGAATGACATATGATGAATTTGACTGGATTGAATGCTGCCTGGTCCTCGAAGCATGTCACTAATGCTGCAACTGCTCGATGAATGATTTTGACTATGAATATGAATGAAATCATGAATGCATGTACATCAATGAACTGAACTGACATGACCACATCCTGCATGATGACTGAATGCAATGCCAAACTGCATGAAGAATGAATGACATGCAATACTGAACTGGATGGAATGATTTGTAGCAATAAGAATGCATGAATGACATCATGAATGGAACTGACATCGAATGAAACAGCCATCATGAATGCTGCATGCTTGGAATTGTAATTCGCATAGACAGCACACTGTACTGCATGACATGCACTGAATGCAACTGAACTAATGAATGATGCAATGATAATGCCTGCTGAATGCATTGATGAAGCATGACTGCTTGCATGACTGAATGAAATACATGCATGCCTTCAGCAAGAAATAATGAATTCCGATGACATGAAATATGAATGACGACATAATGCAATGATGAATGCATGACTGCCCTACTGAATGATTATATGAACTGCACTTATGCTGCTCATGAGTTTGTAATGAATCGGTTCGAATTGCACTGACTGACGTGCCAGCCTGGCCATTACTGCATGATGCTTGGCATAGGGAATGCCACTGGATGAATGACATTTTTGATGCAATGAATGCATGACTTTTAATAAATTAATTAATGAAAAATAAGGAATGACTGAATGATATGAAATATCGTATTGATGGCATGAAAATGAACAGAAGAATGTAATGAACATGATGAACTGATTGAATGTTAATGAACTGCATGAAAATCATGATATGAGAATGAATGATGAATGGGATTGAAATGACTGCCATCACTCCTTGCTCTGCATGGAAATCAAGCAATGGGCATGAATCGAATCATGAATGATGAATGTCATGCAATGAACTAATGGACTGGAATGAATGCTATGAATGCATCATCTGAAGACTGACATTAATGAATGACCTGGACCTGAAGACACTAATTGAGATTGAATGGTTTCAATCGAACTGAATGAAATTAAAGACATAGAATTGCATTAAATAATTGAATTGAATGAATGAATTTCTGAGAATACCTGACTGAATGATGAATGAATTGAACATAATGACATGGATGAATGTGCCCATAGGACTGTACTGAAATCATGATCTGCATGCAATCGCCTTCAGAAACATGCACATGCTCTGGACTTGAAATGCTGAATGCCTGATGCTCATGCAAAGAACCTTTGCCCTTGCACTAAGCCAGACTGACAGCCGCCTTGTTTACAGGGTGGGTTGGTTTGGGGGGTGGGTGTGGTTATATGAATTGATGCATCAATGAATGGGAATGACACCTGATGAATTTCATTGAGTGCATGATGAATGATTGACCTTTCAATGAAATAATTTGAATTGACCATTGAATGAATGCAAATATGACAGACCGCATGACCCTATGAATTAATAGATATAATAATAAGGAATAATGCATGAATTCATGATGGAATGAAATAATGATATGAGAATAGAACATGAATAATGAATTGAAATAACTGCAATTGCTAATGGTGCAATTGGAATGATGGAGTGAGATGAATGAGTTCGAAAAGAACTGAATTAATGACTGATTGAATGCAATTAAGGATGAATGATGCATGAAATTTCCTGATTCGAATGGAATGAATGTACTTCATAAAGTGAACTGACATAGCAATAAGGAATTGATTTGACTGAATTGAACTAATTAGAAATGAATGACTGAAATAATGAATGAATATGTTGAATGGATGCAATATGATTGAATGGTTCACAAGCATTGCACTGGCCACATCATGCACTGTTTGGTTGTGGGCATTTGACAGAAGACTTCATTTAATGCACATGACTGCAAACCTGAAGACAGTCCCAACTTAGAATTCATGCCTGTCACCATCCTTTTCCTTACATCCAGACCTAACTGACTTGCCATGTCCCAGTCAATATCCTGCCCACCAGCATCCAGCCCCCACCTTCTTCATCCATACCATCACTACTTCAATCAATCCTAGAACCAACTCATTCCATCCAACCATCCATCATTCCAATCCCACAATCCATCCTTTCCATCCATCCACAATCCTCCAATACATACACCCAATCCTATCATCCATCCATCCTATTTCACACCATCCTTCCCTTCCATCCAAGCTTCCTCCATCCATCATCCATCATCCATTCATCCATAACATGGATGGTTGGATGGTGGGGATGATGGATTAACATACTTTTCATCACCTATCCATATCCATCCATATCAATTCAAATATCCATATCCCACCATATCATCATCCATCATACATCCATCCATCAATCCACATTTCATCATCCACACTCCATCAAAATATCATATCCATCCAAATCATCAATCCATATACTCCACCAATATAAATAACAACACAAAAACAGCAAACCAAAATGTTGTTTTTTGTTGTTATGTTTTTTTTTTGTTTTTGTTTTTTTTTTATTATTTTTTTTTTGGTATTATCTCGCGCGGTTTTCTTATATCAATATTTACATATTTGAGTATACATATTTTAACTTTTTTTCTTCTTAATTATTTTTTGATTGAATTTTAATTCGATTATTTTCACAAACACTACTATTATTACAATCACATTAATCCATTATCGACATAATATTTTTTTTTTATTGTTAACACAAACCTAAATATATTTATTTATGTGTAACATTAATTAAACTAGAGATTTGATTATTAATGTGTAGATTTGATACAATTTCAATGGTCATCTTAGTTTTCTCGCCTTCACTCTGTGTTAACATTGTTAATTATTTAATTTGAATATAATTTCATAAATTTTTTTCATTTAACAATTGTCTCAAAGATTTTTATTTTCCTTATTAATTTAGATTGGTTCTATATTATTTAGTTGGAATTGAATATAGTATTAAATTTATTCATTTCAGCCCCGGCTCTCACGATACGCACGCAGAGATGTGGGGTTAAGTTACTTGTAATACTTCTTAAATCATTCTCTCAGCTCCCGCGAGCGACACAGACGCACGATGTGAACCCCTCCCTGTGTGTGTGGGTATTGGTTGGTGGTTTGGGTTTTGAGGATGTGTCGTTTAGAGTGTTTGGTGGGTCTCTTCAACTGGATCTACTTTAAAACATAGCACTTATGCTTGCACCTTTTCTACTGAGCACTTGTCGTTTCACACGGGTTTTATTTCTGTTTAGCAAGAAGGTAGTTGGGTAGGATAGGGCTACGCGCTTGTTTGCTTTGGCTATGGCTTCTCTCGTCTACCTCCCTTGACTCTTTTTCCATACTGATTCCTTATTTTTCCTATCATCTCTCCTGCTATCTGGTGTCGTTGTTTCATTCATTCCTATGCCCCTTCTTAGTGATAATGGGGGCGGTTGTGGTAATAAAGTTGTAGTATTTTTGTTAAGCTTTGAGGCGAGGGGTTGTCAGAGTTTAGAAATACAGGCTTCAGGCTGTTGAACATAGGAGGTTAAAGTTAGGCCCCCATGTAGCTGTCCTCCAAAAGTCCTAGCGCAGGCGATTGGGTAACTGTACGCAGAAAGCGTACGGTAGTCGTGGATCTCTGCCCACTGGTGAGTCACCTTCCACCGTCCCGTTTCTAACGGTTTTCCCCACTCAGTGACACACCAGCTGAGAAGCCACTTGGTGATTGGCAGCTCATAGTCAGAAAGTGGCAGCATTAGAGACACCAGGGACATTGTTCAAATGTTTGCTGAGGGCCAGAACGGGAGCGACATCGTATCCTACCAGAACACTTACTGGCTAAGGAATAAGGTTAAATACAGTAAGATTGTTATTCAAGATGGGTGGTAATGACAACCGGTTACGCCGATCGGAGGTCACTAAAATTAGTGTTGCTTCGGTGTGTAAGTTTGCCAAAAAAATGTCGGACTCCGTAATTTTCTCTGGTCCCCTCCCTGATCTGACCAGTGATGACATGTTTAGCCGCATGTCGTCATTCAACCGCTGGTTGTCTAGGTGGTGCCCTGAAAACAACGTGGGCTACATTAATA